AACTCAGGACCCTGTGCTTGCCAGGCAAGCACTTATTCTACTGAGCTATCTCCCCGGGCCCTCCAATTATCTTCTATCGTACACTTTCTCCCCCTTGCTTTTTTACAGTGAATCAGCCAGCTTCTCTCCTTCTAGCTTTATCTTGCTTGTCTTTCTGCAGCATCTCTATCTCCATTCTGTCTCCTTTCTGTACAGCACATATCACAATTTTTTTCTATGAATTTAGGTTTTAACATAAGACAAGGGGTGTAAAACTTCCCAGGGCCTCTGCTTTCTGCCCTTTAAAAGACCCCACGTGAAGCAGAGAAATCCTAAGGGCCCCCTTAGTCAGTTGGAATGCTTGAAGAGGGTAACTGGGAAAATAAAAAATAAACCGGAATCTCATGGAGGGCTGGCTGTGTGTGGACAACTCAGGAAAGGACCATGTGGGGGGACAGGGATTCTGCCTCGAAATTCAGTGGGTCTAGGTGGCATCTCTGGGCTCCCTCATCCATACTGACACCAGGATTAACTCCTGCTCCATCTCTTTTCTACTTTAATTCCATTTCTCTCATTTCTGCTTATTAACTAGAATGCTCTATTTATGAGACACACACCCGAGAGATGAGATGCATGACTCCAGGCTGAGGATGGAAAGAAAACAATGACCTATTAGAAATGGCTCCAACGGGAATCCGACAGGAACAGTTCCATGTAAAGCTCATTTCTGGACACTGGGATTTCCTAATTGCCAACTTGCAAAAGATAGACCAGAACTTAAGGCAGGATTATAGGAAAATGACTATCTAATGGGAGTTCTGTAAGGCTTCTGTCATTCAGGAAGTTTAGTAATGTTCATCTAGGTTAAAACTGTGTTGGACCTTAATCTCTTAATAACTGCTGTCTCTCAGATAATGGATAATTGCAGTCAACCACATCTTTGCATTAATTATTAGCATTCCACTGTATAAGAGGATAGATGGGTAGAAAACATCTTGTTAGTTTGTGCCCAGGTCCTCTTCTTAATTTCCCGTTCTTCAGACAAATAGCTCTAGCTCCTTCACCTGCACCTCGAAAGATACACTTATAAGTTCCCTTTTGATCTTAGGCAGGCCACTAGAGTTTTGGGCAGTCATGTTCCCCTAGCACCAAGCAATCTTGACTGAATGAATTTTAGATTGAATAACAGACCATTACTTCCCTCATCAGTGAAACTATCCCTTTACACACCTACTGTATGTGTGCGGGCATGCAACACACATACATACTCCACCATGCCTTGAAAATACATAGGAGACACCCTATGTTAATAGAAGCAAATTAGTAGGTCAAAGCTTTATTTAAGATAGCTATATCCCTCACACTCAAAATAATTGCTCTGTAAATGCTCTAAATAAACACTGTCCTCTTCCTACTGCAGGTAATTACTCAGACTAAGAAACGAGCCTTTAAGTATGAATTGTTTTTAGGTCAACAGAGAAAAAATTCACTTTCTCCTCTTCTATATCTAAGTGTATGTGAAATCCTTGCAGACCTGTACGAACTGTGGTCACATATAATCCAATCACTCTCCCAATTCATTAGTCACAATCTTACAGGGGCTAAGATGTCAGGATGTGACATCTGTTTAGTGGCATATTCTTGATAAGTAACCACATATTATCACAGCGCCACATTCCCAAATATTAGAATACTTAACATTTGCTTGAAACTAAAATTAGTGCGAGATCCGATCTCCTTTCCATGGTTTGGAAGATCTTAAGCATCTTTCTCACTTAGGCACTTCCTGTGCTCAGAGATATGTTCAATTAGAACTGCTCTTGTCTGATTTCCTTCTACATTGCAGCATGATTTTGATGAACTATAATTTCTAGGGCTTTCGCCAAGTGGAAGAGTACTAGCACCCAGCACCCAAGGGAAGGACAGGGAGGGCAAGAAGCAGAGAGACAGGGAAAATTATCTAATCACCTGTGAGCGGCACCTCCTTCCTTCACTTGCGTGACAACGATAGCGTGAGGTGAGCGCTTTGATCCTCGGCCTCCACTAACCTGAATTCCCAGCCCATCTGATTCTTTGAGCAGCTCCATCTTCCATATCCGACCGACTTCCTCCTTGGAAGGAAAAGCAAACATATGTAAAGAATGTTGACAGACATACAGCGTTGACATAGGAGAGCAGAGCTGTCACATCAGGCCGTCACTTGCATCCAAGGAGGCAGAAGAAAAAGCTGCTGTGGACTGGACAAAGACTGGCTGGCAGGGCTGCCCAACTGCAGGAGCTGCCACAAGGGAAACATTCTGTTGATGCCGTCCCAAGTGGACCCACTGGCCACAGGCGGCCACAGAGTGCCTGAACGTGGCTGCTGCCACCTGAAGACTTGAATTTTAACTTTATTAAATTCTAATTAAATTTCAGTATTCAAACAGTGGCCATGTATTCAGTATTGAATATTCACTGTATTCAGTATTTCTGGCTAGTGGCCATGATGTTGGACAGCCCAGCAAGTGTGCTTACTGAATTTCCTCACCAGGCTTCTGTAAAGTGAAGCTTCCTTTGATCAAGACCCAGAGGCTACTGGGGATGCAAACACCAGGTGAGTATGGGATCCTTGTATTTTTGCACAGCTACTAATTAATAAAGAAAGATGAAAGAACAATGGTTGGGTTTTGGTCCCAGAAGACCTCAACTAGTTTTGCCATTTATAACTTACAAAAATCACCAAATGCAAAAACATCTGATTCCCCGACTCAAAAGTAGGAATTATTATTAATGCTTCTAAGGTTTTCCTTAGAATTAAATAATATTTATGCAAACATGTAGTAGCATATGATCACTAGCAGACAGTAATAAATGTTGATAGGTAATCATGAATACCTCTTATCAGAAATGCTTGGGGACTAGAAGTGTTTCAGATTTTGGATTTTAAAATCTTGGAATAGTTGCACGTACACAGTGAGATATACTGGGAAGGGGACCCAAATCTAAACATAAAATTTATGTTTCATATATACCTTATGTGTATAGGCAAAGGTAATTTCATACGATGTTCTTAGGGCACCTATGTTTTAACTGTGATCTGTCACATCAGAGGTGAAATTTCCTACTTTTAGTATCATGTTGATACTCAGTAATTTTCACTTTTTTGAGCATTTTGTATTTATATTTTCAGATTAGGATAATATATATATATATATATATTCATTCATTCTTGAGTTGACTCTCAAATTTCCCTAAAACACACAAATGATACCTTGGATAGGAAAAACCAAAACAATAAGTTGATCAATGATTCTGATGTTGACTATTAGTCAATAGAACCAGTGATGACAGTGGTCTGTGCACTCCTTCAAAGCATTTAAAATGCTTAAATCCCTATCAAAATTTGTCCTTTAAAAAACCCTAGTAAATGCCTTTAGGCCATTTGATTACTCAGGGCTTTTCTGCCTTGGCTTGTCCTCTACTTGAATCTGTATTTCACTCTCAGGACAGAAACATGCTTACTGCAAGAGTTTTGAGTTCTTCCAGATACTTAGCTGTTCAGGGAAATGAGAGTGAAATCTTTAAAAGTGATTTATTTGGGGGTCTTTCTTTAGGCTCCCCCTGCTATTCTTTTTAGCTCTAGAGATATGGACATAGGTCATAAAATATTCCTCAACCTATGAAGCAAGAGCCATCTGTTTTTTTCATCCATCACGAATGTCCAATGGGACAATTAAGGTCTACATAGACAATGGCATCATCTCCTAAGAAATAGGCAACTGGCCCACTCAAACTGCTTGCAAAGAAGAAAAAATGTGAAGTATTTAGAAAAATCTGAAACACACAGTGTCAGAGACTAAAATGAAACTGCAGGCCACAGTGAAAAGCCCAGATGCTGAGCAGTCACTGATGTGCAGCAGCAGGACTGCCTGGGAACATGATTACCAGAGAGAAGCCTGCTGGATGCCATACTTTGCTAGTACCACACTGCCCAGTGGGGCTCCCTTACCCAGCAATATGCAGCGGTGCCAGCTCTCTCCTCCACCCTCTGACCACAGACAAGTGGGGCCTGTCTGGCCAAGTGTAACTTCAGAAGCCCCTGGCTTACCACAGTGGTTCATGAACTTGTCAATGGTCCCTATTTCATCCACTCGGCCCACTCTGGCCTCAAGGCTTTTGGTTTGCTGCCTCTGCCCTCTGGAACACCTTTCTCCTCTCCATTTGGAAGCACTCTCCCTGGTCTTTACTTTCTCATAGCTCCACTACTTCCAAAAAGCCAGCCTCGGGAATCAATCTGACAGCCACGATGGCAACTTTCAGTGCTACCTTGGTAGGAGACTCCATGGCCTTACAGATGCCACCAAAAGAACAAATTCAAGATGTGCCAGTTAGTTGCTGTCCTGGCTAGCTGTGTGTCCCACGCCAGCATCCTGGGCAGCCTGTGGCTCTCTCTGGGCATCATGGTGCAGTTGAGACACAAGAGGAAGATAGTGGTTTATTTCTGCCTAGAAAGGGGGACACAGTTCTCAGGTCTCAGGAGATGAGAAAGAGTTCTTCTCCTTCCCCTAGCACAGGAAAGCTGTGGACCTTCCCCTAAAGCAACAGAGTCCATTACTGGAGTCCAGAAAGAGGGCACACTTATTTTTAGTTCAAATTAGTAAAACCCTACCTACCCCATTCCTAGTTTATACTATCCATCTTTTCCCACTTACTCTCCTCTTTCACTAAGCAGAACAGACAGGCATGGTTCACAGAGGGCATGACAATACTAGACACATTCTTCTTAATCTTTAAATGCTTTTAACAGTAAGATTTGTGATGAGTCACGCAAAAATACCTTCAAGGGGGTAGAAAAACATTACTGACAGATGAGTTCAAGGCAGTTTTCATCAAGAGCATCCATATAACTGATTCATACCCTCCTCTGGCCCAACACATGCAAAACTAGCTAAAAACAAAATAAAAATGAAACCCACATATCTAATACAGAAAGTGCATTTCACTCTCTATATTGCAAATGCCTAATTATTCTAGTCAAAAACTAGATCTTCTTCCCTTGTATCCAGTGACATGACTTCTCCCCATAATTGAAAGTGAGAATTAGGAGGGGATTGTCCAAAGCAATCAACGCAAGTTTTCTGTGACCAGACTCATGGTAAGAATTAAGTGAGTGGGGCAAAGTACTACCACATAAAGCAAGAGTAACTGCTACCAATTTAAGCCATACAACTGCCAGCAAACATTTTACACTACTTGTGAATTTAGTTGCCTATAGCTAAAACAAATGTTTAGTCAAAAATTAGTGCCTCAGGTTTGTTAGGCTAGAGTTGGTACTGGCCCAAAACAAACAGGCTAACTTCTTTACACTTTAGCTCCATCAAATCTGGAATCTTTCTCCTTCTGCTCCTGCCTTTCCCATCTCAGTAGGAACAGAACTATCATCCATTCAAGTTATAGAGAACAGGGAAGATGAAAGCCCATGTGTGATCTTTGAATTCTTCTGTTTCATTCCCTACTTCCAAGCCATGTGAGAGATCTGTAGGTTCCGCTTCCAAAATAGAACCCTTATCCCTCTACTTATGCTCTTCTTCTCCACCGGTACCTTTGCCAAAGCCGCCAGCATCTTTAGCTTAGATGACCACAATAGCCTCCTGTCTGATTTCCTGTTTGACTTTTCATTTTCTACAACCCATTATTCTTCATTAAACATCCAGGGTGAATGACGAAACAGCATAGATTATGCTACATTTAGCTTAAATCCTTCAGTAGCTTCAACAGCTCCTCACAGACTGAGAATAAGGTCCAAACTCTTTGTCACGGTGGACATGACCTTTCATAAGTGAGCCCTGTCCACTGTCCTGAATCATCTCCTCTTGCTCAGTTTCTTTGCTTCTGGAACACTCGATTGTTCCCGCTTTAGCTGGTTGGTCCTTGGGAACATTCTGTCCCCTGATTTCGCAGGGCTGGCTGGCTGGCTTAGTTCAAACACTGCTTCTTCAGTGAGGTCTTCCTTTGAAGACATCCACCTAGCCTCTGTCCACATCCCTAGCCATTTTCCATGTCACCCTGTTTTAGGTCATTTATAATACTTGTCACTCCTGGATATTCTGACTTGTTTACTTGCTTACTTATTGTTTATGGCCTTCTTCTAGGCTACACATGCCACAGGATAAAGTCCCTTGTCCATTTCATTTACCAGTGGGTTCCCCAGCAACTAGGACAGAACCTAGCACATAACAATATTGTACAATTAGTACAGAATTAACAAGCATAAAATGTTAACACACTAATCTTACATACAGTTCTTCAGCATCGCTGAGCCTGGAGAAGGGGCTATGTGCACGGGGACCTGTGTGCTCGCCAGTGTCCAGGGCATGAGCCCGGCCCAGCTGATGATGGACTGGACATTTGTTTTTCTCTACATTGGTTTAAAGGACAATAGGACTTTGTCAGTCTATTGAGAAAAAAACCGAATCACACAAAAAAGGGATGCTGTAGACTTCTGCCCTACTGTGGTGGAGGGTTCCCTTTTCCTCTAAACCTCCCACTGTGGTGAGTTCACTTGTGCATCTCTTCACTAAAGCCACTGAGTAGATTTATGTACTACAGCAGGGTGGCACATAAAAGGGAACTAACTCACAGCATTTAAATGACCTCATTTCTGCTGGAACCAAAAATAACACTTTACAACAGCATCTTTGCCCCAAATGTCAGAAGATGCATCAGCCAACTAGAATTTCACAGCATCAAGTGCTTTGCCTCTCACTGCAAGCCTATGCTGAGACTGTCTGTTATCCCTTCTCATGTAGAAGGATGGTAAGAACTGGGAAACAGTGTGATCAAGTCAGAGCTGGAAGTCCCTTGGTCAGCAGACCAAAATGTTCCGTTTATAAGTAAGGAAACAGAAAAACAGAGAAAAGCCACAGGAGCCCAAAGGCCTCAGAGCTGGGGATAGAAGAGTTGGGGATAGAAGGGCTGGGGCTGGATCCACTCCCTTATCTATCAGGCCTGGTGGCTATGGGCATTTTCATTATGTGTGTATTTTTTTTTTTTTTTTAATGTATTTGGTACAGGGTCTCACTTGGGCATTTTCATTAATAAAGAGCTACAGAGCACCAACAAGTATAAGGCC